AGATGATCAAAGTAAAAAAAAAAATGGAGATGGCGAAAGTAAAAAATGGAGATGACCAAGAGGTAGATCCTTCTTGGTTTTGTCAAATGATGAGTGGTGTCTCACATCCCTTGGGTATGTGAGAGGCGGGCCTCCGCAAGACTTACTACGAACAGTCGGCCGCCAAAGCCTATCTGACCAGAAAATAAGAAAAAAAGGGAAGATGACCAAGACTTACTACGAACAGTCTCCCCTCGTTAGTAGAAAGTTTCCCTCCGGTTAAGACAGAGTTGTAGAAAGCCACAGGCAGTCCGTCGTCTCCTGGTACCTTCCCATGTGCCATGGTCCTGAGAGTCTGGCCAGCTTCTTCCTTCCTAATTGGTCTATCTAGCTGAAGTCGGGCGGTATTGGTCAGACGTTCCGTGGTGTTGTTCCAGTGGTCGGTATGGAGGAAAAGGTCCTGACAAATGTCCTTACCCTGTAGGCGCGAGGTGAGAACATCTCTGTAGTAGAGTGCTGCATATTCGCTCAGTAAAGCTGGATCCTTGGCACGTGGTGCCTGAGGATCGAAGGGGTGCATTAGCTCTTCGCTTATTGGCTGCGCAGAATGTTTGGGGATGAGTTTCCGAAAATACTCTTTGGTCATCTGGTCGTAAACGGCGATTCCTTTAACCCTTAGGCGTTCCGGCCAGACCTCTGATTTCCGTTGCTGTAATGCATCCCATTCTGATAATCTGTTCCGCTCCCTTCCCCAGGCTACCCGTGAGATCGGGTGGCCATTCATCCTTCTCTCCACATTCTCTATCTTCCTTCTGAGATCGGTTTCCTCTCGGTTCCTATTCCATGCTAAAATCCTTGAGAAGACATTGAGAAGATTTGAGAAGAAGATAGTTGATCCTACTTGCCACCATTCGTCTAGGGATTGGTACAAGCATTTCGCACTCTCCCAGTCTGCCCAAAAGCTCTTCATCCAAGCTACTAGCCCCTGGTCCTCAAGATTCTGAGCACTTAACCTAAAGTATCCCTCCCTCGTTCTAGCAGTGCTGTCTGTAGTTTCAGGACTGGTTTGTGGTCAGAGAGGATATGAGTTGTTTCTCTGACTGACTCTGTTTGCTCCCAAAGGTTTTCAGATATGAGAAAGTAGTATAATCTGCGGCTTATGATCCCTATTCCCTCCCGGCAGTTCGAGAACCACGTGTATCCCTCCTCATGAGGCTGGGTGAGGTGGTACGGGTCAATTAACGAATATATCTCCAGCAGATTTAAGAGGTTAGTGATATCTGCCGGGTTTTGACTGCCTACTTTCGTCATCGCCGAGTCCAATGAGACATTCCAGTCCCCAGACGCTATTAAATTAGCACAGTCTGGGATAACGGCATTCAGATCATCGAAAAAATTCGCTCTCTCTCGCCTATCAGTTGGAGCGTTTTCTGAGGCAATCACCCATTCTGCATCTTCAAACCACAGCTTCACCCACGCCCAACGTCCCCAAAGGTCTGCGAAGTAATCTATGATTTCAAAGCCAGCGCCCCGGTGCAGCAGGATAGCCACCCCCTCCCTGGACCCCTGGGATGGAGACCAGATTTGGGGTCCATCCCACCGTTGTCCCAGATCTCTAATGCGTTCCTCATTTAACTTAGATTCCTGCACACATGCTACTTGTACTCGATTGTCATGAAGCCACAACTTAAGTCGGGCTTTCTTAAACTTACCTGACGAATCTCCCAAACCTTTGGGGTTCCAAGTGGCGAGACGCAGTTTGCCCATTTCGGCCAGATCTCCCGTTTCCCTGTTGGATAGGAGTGGAGGAGCTCGTGCTTGTCGGCTGCACTTCCCAAGGTGTGGTGAGGGCCTCCCTGATGAATTTCGAATTCATTCTCTTATCTCTGGCCAACTTCCCGTCCAAGTCCACCAAAACTTCGCCCGAGCAAAAAGGCGGAACCCGAATTCTGCACAAATCCTGTTGTCGGCCTTCTGCAAACCACACTGTAGGTAGCAGTCTCAAGCCCTCCTGTTCCAGCTTCAAAAGCTGAGCGTCGTCGAGTCTTGCATTGAGGATTGGAGTGAAGAATTTCAGTTTTCAATTGCTTGGAAGATCTAGAATAACTCTTCCCATTGGCTCATCTGGTATCAGCCGAACGGGAAACTTGTTTCTTAGGAAACCTTGCACAAGAGTGGCAACTGCCGTGGGCATCGGTTGGTTCGGAGAGGTGAAGCTATGCAGCTCTGGTAATCCATCGATTCCACTCCACGCTATCACCCAGAAGTTTCCTTTTACAGCTGTGCATAGGATGGGAAGAATCTTCTTCTCCACGCTGTCTTGTTCACCTCGAATAAGCGTCGCTGGAGCACGGTTTCTTCTTGTCGTCGTGCCCGGTGTGCCTATAACATTCTCCGGTTCTTATGAGTGATCGGACCTCGATATTGATGCCGTCGAATCCTCTGGATTGGGAGCTTGGTTATTTTCTTCAACTCTCCTCTGCTTGCCTGGGGTGCTTCCCCGGGATCTGCCTCCTGATGCTGCCGACAGGGGCCTTGCCCCTGTTGAGTACGGCTGGCTGGGTCCTGCTCCTCCTAGGAATGAGGGGCTCTGCATGCCGACTCCTTGTACTCCCGCCGCGTTGCCAAATAAGCATGTAGGTCTTAGTGTATTGCCTTGTGGAGGAACGTATGGTTGGAAGCCTACAGCTGCCCTTGGGACTTGCCGGAGATAGCCGGATGGTTGCGGCTTCAGAGTAGGGTTCCCCAGATGAAAGTTCGGCATTCCCTGTAGGAGCTGCGCAAGCATGGCTTCCATCTGGAATGGCTGGGGTTGAGGTTGGAAGGCCGGATTCGGGTAGACGTTATTAAACCCGAACTCCTGACCCTGGCCTCCTTGATCGCCGAGGCCTGAGGCTGCTGCTGCTGGTTGTTCGTTCCTTGTGTTCCCTAGCGGACCTTCGTCTTGATTCTGCCTCTTGTTGTCTTGTGCGATCTCCTCTTCGACATTCGTTCGCTGAGTGAAAGAATGCCCTACAACGACGACACCGTGGTGTTTCTGATGATGCTAGCTTGACGATTAGTTCATCTCCTTCGAATGTATCCACCGTGATCGAGTCCTCCATGTTCGGTCTAGCTTCTGGATTGATGTCGAATTTGATGTTGACTAGGGCCGGCTTCTGGCGATCTTGCTCCGGTGGCTGTGTGAGGATGACTGGTCCAACGGCTCTCCTGATGTGTGCCTCAAGGTAGAACATCGCATCCAGCGGTACTTGGACAGCAATAACCCAGAAGTTGGTGAGACTCTCTAGTCTTCGGTGTTCTGTAAGTTGTGCGTTCGTCAGCCAGGGCTTAATCTCCATTTTGTACGTGAAGGAACCCAAGAGTACCTCGGCTCCGCCTTTCTCGACCATCCACGTAAAGATCGCTGTGCTCTTAGCAACGTACGAAGCTACGTTAAGGTTCTCTATCCTTACTCTTCCTCTTCGGAAGTTCTCCTCAAAGTCTCCTGCCTGTACTCTCTCGTCTTCGTATGCTCTAATAAGGTCTTCCTTTATGTTCCTTGGTAAGAA